CTACTTGCTTCTGCCTTCAGCTTTTAAAGAAACTAGAGAGGATGTTTTTTAAGTCTATGGTTATTTAAAGTGAAGGGAGAAAATTTCCAAATGAGAGCAAAGACCTGTCCACGGAGCTGGCCACATTCCCACAAACAGCAGCCTAGGGTAAAACCACATCAGTGTCCACAATTTCCCAGAGAGATGGACTTTTATTTTTCCCCAAGTGCTCTAGTCATTAAAGACTCTCTCTTGAAATACCTCTCCTGATTTTTGGGATGCATTGGTGCTTCTTACCCCTTACGTGAATTCCCTCCTGTGCGGCCCAAGATCCTGCAGGGTTTGCGCTACACCTTCTCCGTGGACTGGTGGTCCTTTGGGGTGCTGCTCTATGAGATGCTGATCGGCCAGTCCCCGTTCCATGGGGATGATGAAGATGAACTGTTTGAGTCAATCCGAGTGGACACCCCTCACTACCCCCGCTGGATCACCAAGGAATCAAAGGATATCTTGGAAAAGGTAGGATTGGTGGGCAGCTTGGGGTGCTGGTACTGCCTCAGTGCAGGGAGACAGATCTCCTAATCAAGGAGCTGTTTATCAGCAAACTGCTCTGACAAAGGGAAAGCCAGGTCAGATTAATTCCTAATGCTCTGTTTGCTGTCAGCACCCTTAGCTGTTTTAGCACCACACCTGTAATTCTTGCACTGCTCTGCCCCTTTGGAGCAGCTCTTTACTGGGTGCCTTCTCCTGCAGCTCTTTGAAAGGGATCCAGCAAAACGACTGGGGGTCACTGGGAATATCAGAGACCATCCTTTCTTCAAAACAATCAACTGGACAGCACTAGAGAAGAGGGAGGTGGACCCTCCCTTCAGGCCAAAAGTGGTAAGTGGATTGTTCTTGGTTCTTAGTAAACAGCAGCCCAGGGGTAAGGGGTGAATTCTGTTCCTGCACAAAGGCTCCCACTGCCATTTTCTTCTCACATTTTACAAATGAGAAAGTTGTGTATCTGGAAGCCCGTTGTTCTTGGATGGTTCAGTTATACACAGGTGCTCTGTACTCCTCTGACTGCCCTGAGATCTTCCTCTTAAGACTGTCCTCCTGTTGCTCTCAAGGAGCTTTGTGGATAAAATGTTCATGAAAACCAACAGATAGCTTTGATCTCCATTTCCCTCCGTGTTAGAATGTTCACAGTTCCTTGCAGTTTGCTTTTCTGAAATGCCATGGGAGGAGCAGCAGTAGCTCCAGGCTGCTCAGCTGGTGCCTACTGCAGGCACTCTGTGCAAGCATTAAATCTCTGCTGCTTCAACCTCACCCAGGCATCTCCAAGGGGGCAAGAAGCACCATTCTCTAAGCTACTGAACATGGAATTCATGTACATGCCTGATGATACCTGGAAAAACACCTGCAGAACAGACTGTAACTCAGTCTGTATCACAGTGGGATGCTGCTGCTTCAGCTCACGTGGTTAAAATGCCAAATCAGTGTTTCTCCAGCCTGTTCCTGAAACAGGTGAAATGGTCTGCAGGCAACAGTCTCTTTAAAATGTACTCTGTGGAGGAGAGCTGTCCCCTGCAAACACACAAGGTTTTGTGCTGCTTGTTCCCACAGAAGTGGGAAGTCTTTGGTGGTTGAGAGTGTAGAACAGTTTCTAGTTACATGAGCATTTATTAAACACAAAACAGCTGCTGTAGGGCATTGCTTTATTCTCTGACCAAGTATAGCCTGTAAAATGTTCTAAGAAATTTAAGCATTTTGGTTAAAGGCAAAAAATGTTGGTCTGATGTGTAAGTTAATGCTGCATTGCTTTTGTCAACAGATAACCTTTGGGTAATAACCCAGTGTTATCCCAAATCCAGGTTTCTTCTCCAAAGCAACCTGGGTTTGGTTTTTCTGTTGGTTTCCAACTAACAATAACAAAGTGCCCAGTTATAATCTCAAAGTCTTGTTAAAATAGGTTAAATAGGTTAAAATGAGATTTTTGTTTCTCTCTAAAGCAGAGGAAGGAGGGAGGGAGCTAAAAGACTAACTTCACAGAATTTTGTATTTAGGTGATTTGTTCTTGAAGAAAATACAGTTTGTCTCAAACTGTCTTTCCTCTCTAATACAGAAATCAGCAAGTGACTACAACAACTTTGACAGAGAATTTCTGAGCGAGAAGCCAAAACTGTCTTACAGCGACAAAAACCTGATTGAGTCCATGGACCAGTCTGCATTTGATGGATTTTCTTTTATTAACCCGAAATTTGAACAGATCTTGAACAAGTAAGTCTCTGAAGAGCTGGACTTTGCAGCAGGGTTACAAACCAGACTCCCAAGTGTTAATGCATTCCAACAACGTCGATACTTCAGAATAATACACCCTAGTGTGATGAATTATGTTCAACGCCTGATTTATTGGCAGTGTTTTTATGCATGGTTGGGTTTAAGGTATGTGAATCATGTGCATTATTTTCTCTGTTTGGGAAATGTAAATTCTGTTTGGTACTTGAATGTAGTTATGTTATATATACATGTGTGCTGTATATTTTGCTCAAGAGAAGACATTGGGGAACAGAAGATGTCTTTATAAAATGTGTTTGAGCCCTTGGTTCTTTTATTTGTCTTCAATTAAAAGAAAGTTTAATGTAACTTTCATTCATGGCTCTATGATTTTTAAAAATATACAATTTAACTCCAGTGGTCTTTAAGGTACAGTGAAAAAATAATGCTTGGTCAGTCCTGCTCACTTTCTTAAAACGTTTCTTGTTTTTGTGAATTAAACAAAATGAACTGTCAGGAGAAAGCAGATTCCTAGTGTAACACCAGCTGCTGTGGGAAACAGCTCAAGGGGCTTTTCCTGAATAAATGCTTCATATTTATTCCAAGGCAGTCCAAGCATGAGACAAAGAGGCCTCAGCATCCCAGAGCAGCCCCATCCTGCCTGGGAATGTGGGGTTCTGCCACTAAATGCCACTTCCTGCTAACAGCCACAACAATCACAGCAGGACAGATCCCAGGTAATGACTGTAGAATTACTTGCCTGCTCTGCCTGAGGAATTATTTGTTTAACTGCCAAACACAAAATCCTTCTTCCAGTTTTATTTGCTTGTTTGTAACACAGCAGCTGTGGCTCCTCCTGCTTGCTGTTAGAAGGGCAGAAAACCAGATCCTGCTGCCTTGCAACACCTACTTCTGAATTTTGATTTTTAGCCATTAGAGAGAAAGAAAAACGAATGTAATAACTGCAAAGCTCCTTCCAAAACCTTTGCCTTGAATCCAGCTCATAAAATTCAGGCTGAAGCAAAGTTTCTTTGCTTCTCAAGAGCTTTCTGTATCTTGTAAGGCTATTGCAAATTATTTGATTTTCTTAACACTGAACAGGCAGAAAAAATGTACATGTGTCAGTTCATCCAAGAGTTATGGAATGCCACAGAACTCCTAGGAAAAATCTGGAGCTTCTGGGTAGTTTCAGACTGTTAATCCTGCTGAAAGAGCAGCAGAAAGCTGTAATACTTTGTAGAGATTCAAAAAATACACTGCTGCCTTTGTTCTGCTCCTTAAGAACAGCTCTAGTTTATTGCTGTAACTCAAGTAATGCCAGCATGACTGGGATGCCATCTGAGCCTGCAGCAGATTGAGGCTGGAAGGGGCAGGACACAGCTGGCATTTCCAAACAGCCAGGGCTGGCCTGCTTTACCCAGTCCAAGGCAACAAGCAGTGCCCTGTGAAGTGCTGCAGGGAGAGCAGGAACCTGGGCTTTTCCCCTTCACATAACCTACAGAGCCACTTCTGGTTTGCCACTTGTCACCAGAAAGTGATTCTGCTTTCCAAGGTGAGTGCTGTGCCCTTGCACCCGAGCAGAAAGGCATTTCTGGGTAAGGAGTTCCAGAAGTGGGTGCCAGGAGCAGTGGGTATCTGCACACAAAGAAGCTGTTATCAATTATAAGGAGTAGTAAATATTCCTTGTGGGAGTTGGCTCCCTGTATTCACCTGCTTTGCTCTGGAGTAACAAGTGCCAGATCTGCTCAAGAGGCTTCACACAGCAACTCTTCCAGCTGCCATCTGACTGATGTTCCAGGAGCATCTCCTGCTGCCACAGCTGTGCCCAGCTGCACTCACAGAGGGGCACAGATCCCTTTCCTCTGCAGAGCAGCTACTCCTCCCTCCTCCAGCAGCCCTGTCCTGCTCAGCCCCTGCCCTGCACCACTCACCCCTGTTACAGCACAGGCACCAAAGCTCCACAGCCTGGGCAGCTCCTCCACCTCCTCTGCAGAACTGCTGCAGCCCGGGGCCACCTGTGAGCAGCACCTGGCTTCACTCACCCATCGTCTATGGGTCATCCTCATACTACAGCTTTTGAGAGATTTTGTCCAGAAAGCAGCCTAAAAGTTCTGAAACAAACAAAGAAGTTACCTGCTCCCCAAACAGAAATACACAGAGGAGTTAAAAAACAATTAAAACACTCCTCCCACCCAGCCCAGAAGAGACAAGTGGTTAGCACCTGGGGGGCTGCAATCAGCAAGACATGAAAATATGAGTACATAATTCTAAAAGCAGTCATTAATTTTGCCCTTGTCATTCTGAAGGATAAGTACCCCTGCAAATGTAATGCCCTCCAGCTCCCCTCTGCATACAAACTCGTACTGACAGGCAGCATTTGGCTGTTGGTTTTCACCTTTCTCAAAACACCAGCAGTGTGTTCAAGACAATGCAAGAACAGAGTAAATCTGAGAGGGTGGAGCAGATCTTAATCCCAGTGACCAGGTAAAGCTAATAAAGCCTTAACTTTCACCTCCATCATGTGCAAATCCTGACATGCATTTATTTAACCAGTTCTTCCAACTTCTTCCTCCATTATTGACCTTCCTACTTAAATCATAGTTATTTGTCACAGTAAAGCAACCACAAGGTGAATTAATATAATCCTTGCAGTTATCTCTAATCTCCCTAATCCCAGTTTGTGGAAGCTGTGGAACCCTACTGAGGCTCAGGAACACTCACTGGAAATGGACATGGAAAGAAACACACATCAGTGCACCTTGTAGCATTTGATCTTTATTACTTGGATCAAAGGTCAAATGATTACATTTGTCTGAAAGATCACAACAAAGGCCAACGATGTAAGAAAGGACAGTTTAATCCCAGTCCAGAGACTGCATCTGAGCCAGCACACACAGAACAGAGGCAGTCAAATGGTACAAACACACAAGGTCAGGACAAGGGTCTTCCCCTCCCCTGTCAGTGAGTGCTCTGTCAGGAGTGGGGGACACACTCACAGAAAGTGACAATTAACTGCAGTTCTCAACTGTGCCTTCCCAGAACAGCAGTCAGGGATAACCCTGGGAGAACCCATCGCTCCAAATCTACATTCAGCTCAAATCTACATTCATCATCTGCACCTGCTCTCTCCAGCCAGGGTCAGATGCAGTCACTGATTTAGTACCTTCCTACTGTAGAACCAACAACTTCGTTTTTTTTCCTCTTCAAGTATCAGCACAATAGTTTATTTACACTTCTATACAACTCTTTTTACTGAACACCCATTGTAGTAAAACACTCATCACAGTATATTTGAAAGCAGGCTATAAAAATACCTACTGTACATAGAACATGTAGCCTCAAGGATGTTACAGCACCTCTGACAGATCAGAGAGGTAAAACAAAGGGGGACAGGAGACATTTCAAGCTGTGCTTGCCAGCGAAGAGAAGCAACCCTGGGCTCAGCTCTCACTGGGGGAAACATTTCTGCCCACACTTCTTCAGCCAGGTCTGAGCTCACAATCTGCCAGTAAAATCCCACTTTTCTAATGCAGCCTCCTGGGATTTTTACAGATAAATCCTGACATTCTCAGTGTAAAAACAGCTTAACCACCCCTCCTGTCCCAGCAGAGGAGCGAGGGCTGCCTGGGGCACAGCCTGGCTTTCCCACCCCACCGTGGGAGGGGAAATTGCTCCTTCAGTTGTGCCACAAAGGTGGCCTTGTTAACACACATCAATGAATTCACTCCTCTGAGCAGTGCCAGGCAGACTCTCTCCTCACCCCACAACTATGGGCACAGCTGAATTAATAAAGGTCTGAAATGGCATTACCATAACACACACGCACAAAGCTTTAGACAGCAGCGCTTGAAGCAAGTGTTCCTGGTCATTCTGCACCCACACATTCCTCCTCTGGAACAGAACCCAGCAATGCACTATGGCTTACTTCCAGAGCTGAATATATTGCTGAATTTAGCTTATTAAAAAAAAAATCACAACAGCAGCACATTATTTTATAAACCCTGCACAAACAAAAGACAATTTAGCCCTTGCCTGCAAAACTATGTTACCAGGGCCTGGTATTTCACACAGGAATTCAGAAAAGAAAAAAAAAAACCAAAACAACAAAGCAACCCCACCAACTCACATGGTAAAAGTTCAATTAACTGGAGAGAATCCTTAGAAAAAACACAGTTCAACTACCAAAGAATAGTTCTCCTCATTGCAGAGCTAGAGCCAGCAGCAGTGCTGGCAGCTCACTTCAGTTGTCTGGTAACACACACACAAAATACACTTTGATTTAGTACAGTTAAAAGGTTGTGACCTTGACAGACAGAGAAAATTCCACTTTTGGCACTGGAGTTTCACTAGGCATAAAAGAGCAACAAAGAATTGGGATGATGGAAGGTGCTTTAAAACAATACAAAAAACTCCAAGGCAGGTGTGCCTTGTTAAAATTATTTCAGAATTTACCTGGTGTTTTTGTTGCATGAGCTGTTAGAATGGTTAAACTCACCTAACCTTTCTGTACTGTTTCGTGCTGTACGTATTAAATGTGGCTATAAAAGAAAACATATACTTTTATGTTGAAATTCATTCCAAAAATTCTCTAAAAATATAAAGACAACACTAACAAGACAAGCAGCTTCTCCAGGCCTTGACAGACTGAATCCTTTCCCCCTCCCTTCCAGACTCAGAAAAGCTGCTCATCCTCTCCCATAACTGCAGCAGAAAGGACAGGTCTCTCTCCATCTCTCTCCCTTCATTCCCCATTTGTCACTCACACTCATGTCCCCCACTGCCCTCCAAAATACACCTCGTCTCTGGAAAGTGTCAAAATCTTACTAAAATAGCAGAATTCCCCAGGTAGCAAATCCAGCTTTAATGCTTTGATTTTCCAAAGGGAACATCTCCCTTGTGAATTTCTGAAAAATTTTAAGTGGTGGTTGGCAAACCACAGTTCAATTCAAAACACAGGACAATTATCAATTATGGGCTTCCCCATTTAAAGCAGCTTTGCAACACGAAGCCTCCAGTGCTCAAAATGTAGAATTTTGCCCATGTTAAATATGCCATTGAAAAACTCCATGTAATTCTAGGCAATCATTCACAGTAAAAATAAGAGAACTCTTAGAAAAAACACTTACAAAAAGAAAATAAAATCTAGTTAAAATCTGACAGTAAAATCAACACGGGCAGTTAACCACCTTGCGTTATCCACAGACAAACAGTAAAAACCCACTGAAACTGCACAAATTTACATAAGAAAAATCTAAACCCAACTCTGCTCTGCTCCCCACAATCTTTTCACTGATACCTTCCGAGTCATCCACGAGCACAGGTTTTGTTGAAGGAGCAGAATCACATTCGAAATGTCTGGAAGGGAAGGGGAGGGGAGGCGCGTCCATCCCGCCCTGCTCCGACACCGCCGGGCCCTGAGCTGCTGGAGGAAGGGCTGCTGCCCCGGGAGCTGCAGCTATAGGTGCGTGGGGACTGTCCTCAAAGCTTCTTCTCTCGACCTATTCACACCTACGTTCTGCAGATTTAAAGACAAAAAAAAAAGAATATGTTAAAGCAGAGGTCTGACAGGCAGCTGTGGTCTTTGCTCAGCACGCGGCTGTTACACGACACGAAGGTGAGCAAGTTGTAATTCCTGTTTCCTCAGAATGCTCCCTTAAACACAAGGAAAGTCCCAGCCCCTGAGCAGGAGTCAGAACCAGGCTTGGACCTCGTCCCAGTGCCAGGAGCTTTACAGAGCCCCTCAGACACCCAAAAGCAGGATCTCTGCTGCCAGTAAAATGCATCCCTCAGACCTGTATCACACCAGGACAATTGGTCCCTGTACACCATATGCAGGTCTCACTGTTACAGCTTTTAAAACCTTGTTTTCCTTTACTTGCTGTTTTAACCACATTTTTCTAACCCTCTGTCTCCCCAGTCTTTATGCATGTAGTGTAGGGAAAAACAGAACCCTGCAAAGGCCATAAACCACACAGGAATCAATAAAATCTTGAGGGAGGGAAGCCCTCCTCTCCTTGCTCCAAGCACACTCCAGGAAATAATTCCTTAACACCAACAGCCATAAAGCCAACCCTGATCCTATCTGTGAGCAGCCAAACCACTGGAAAAGCTCTGAATAACTCCCTGGAGAGCTGGTAACATAAAGTGTTCCCTGAAGAGCTGGTAACATAAAGTTTAAATGCACTTGGGGATACATACGGCATGTGGCAGATGTCACAGTGACATCAGGGAATGCTCCAGTGGTTTTATAACCACATTTATTAGTTTACATTCAAAACAAGTCTCTCCAGTCAAGCTCTGGGGAAAGGAGAGCCTTCTCAGCACATGCAGACACTCAACTCCATCAGTCAAAACTCATCCACTCAAAAAGCAATTCAATCCTCTCCCCAACCCCAGTTTCCAGATTTTCAGCCATTTCTCATGAAAGCAGGCTATAAACAAGCAGCACCAGATTCTCCTTGTAGGTTGAACTTTGCCAACATTGCTCTGCCCTTGCCAGTTCTGCTACATCCACATCAGCCCTTTCCTCTGTCATCAGCCTTCAAGCCCTTGGGTAAATCCCCATTTTCCACCATGAATACCACACCAAGGTTTCTGGGAACACACAAACAAATGCTGCTGGACAGAATTGTCCAAGTACTGGAAATTTCTGCACCCACCAGCACACAGCCTGACCCACCCTCACATCTCTCTGAAGGAAAGCAAAGCAACAGCCCTATTTCAAAAAGAAGCTTCTACAAGAAGCATCTCTTCTGCAGCAAGGGGAAAGCATCAGAAAGCACCAGTATCTGCTAAGAACATAAGGAACTAGCAAAACAAGTCATACTCTGCATGGTTATAGGGAAAAAAAATCCAACAAACCAACGAACGTGCTGGCATTTGGTGTGTTTGTGTTTTTCTTAGCAACTGATGCAACATACCCAGAATTTCCCTAAGACTGCAGAGAGGTCTCCACAGGCACTCCCAGGAGGAGCTAGCAAAACAAGTCATACTCTGCACGGTTATAGGGAAAAAAAAATCCAACAAACCAACGAACGTGCTGGCATTTGGTGTGTTTGTGTTTTTCTTAGCAACTGATGCAACATACCCAGAATTTCCCTAAGACTGCAGAGAGGTCTCCACAGGCACTCCCAGAATACTGGCTGAAATCTTTTAAGCTGAACATCTGATGTTGATTCAAAGAAAATTAAATGGAGCATGAAATGGAGCATCAAAATGCAGGAATCCAGAGGTACTGGAAATTAGTCCGCAAGCAGCAAGAGCCAGACAGCTCAAACACGAAGCTAAAAGGAAATGAGGTGATTAAGGCAAGGCAGAAGATACAGCTTATTTCAGTGAATGAGAAGTATTGGATAAAAGCAGCATTCTAACAACTAAGACAGACCCAAAGGGAATATTGATAAGCAGGCAAGAAAGCTGAAAGCACAAAAAGCTTGAATTTGAGTAAACACGAACAGGCTGCGGAAGCGAAGTGTGCTAAAGTGTCACACTGAAGGAAGAAAACTGGGATAAACCCTGATAAACACACCCAAGGGCTTATTAAACATACAACAGCCAGCAGTGAGAGCAGATGAGCAGGGGCTTAGAAAGGGACTAATATCCTCATTAACTGCAAGTGGACTCCTACTCTCAGGAATCCCATTAGATGAGATGATGGCAACTGGGATTGTACCCTCTTTCAGAACAGCCATGGGCACTGTGAGGAAAAAGCCATGCAACAAGGACAGTGCTGCTGCTTAGAAAGGGGACAGAGGTTTCAGCCTTACTTTTGGGACCAGAAGGTGTTCCTGCAAGTGCCTGGCACTAAAGCACACCTGGACAAATGACCGTGCTGGGAACAGCCCCACACCAGCAGCAACACGGTCTGGAAAGCCCAGGAAACACAGGAGGAGGAATAAAAACCACACACCTGTCCCAAATACTGTTTCTACCCAGCCATACACCCTCTTCCCTGGCCAGCCCCAGCAGGAGCTTGCTGCTTCCAGAGCCTGCTCCCCCAGGCAGGAGCACTCTGACCTTGCCTTGCACAAGAGCCCATCTTACCCAGTCCTTCCTGGAAAGACTCAGAGTACACAGGTTAACTCAAACACCCTCCTGTACCACTGCTGCTGTTCTCACTACGGCCTGGCCTTTGGACATTTCTGTCCTACAGGACATTTTTGTCCTACAGAGCCTCCCCAGCAAAGTGCTGTGGGTCCCCAACAGGACAGGCCCTGTTTTCAGTTTCGCTTTCATTCAGCTGCAATGTGATCCTCACAGAACAGGAAGATCTTGCAGAAAGGCTCCTGAAGGCAAAAGGAGGAACATCTGGAGACAAGAGCCAGCACAGGCATCAACAGAGAAATAAACAGCACAATATAAACATCCAGCACTCCATCAGCTTCCCCTCAGCATGCTGTGCCACGACCCCTCAGGTGTGCTGACACTCCCATCCAGCATCAGCCCTTCCTTTTGCTGACAGAGGCCCCTTAGAGCATTGTGCTTTTAAATACCCACTTCACTCTGGCACACATCAGCACAGACAGTGCAGGCACAGCCCTAGGGAATCTGGCTGGCAGCAGCTGGCAGGAATGGAGGGTCCTGGGTGCTCCTGCTGCTTCCCTTCTCTCCGCCACCTCCACCAGCCACAGACCAGGCAAACTTTGCTTTCCTCACTGGCCAAGCTCCTGCTCCTGTCATCCTCCCCCTCAATTTTCTCTGACAGCCCAAACCATCCTTTTTCAAGCAGCAAAACTCAGTTTTTCCACAGCAGATGCCTGCAGATTTTGGCTCCGTAAGAAATGCAATGCATTTCATTTCATTTGGATGGTGTTTTCTTGGCTGTGGCCTGTGGAGGTGACAGCACTCCAAGCTGTCTCCATGTGGCTCCTCAGGACCTGGCTATGGCCAGCATCCCTGTGATCCCTCAGGAATGTCACCTCAGCTGTCAGGTAAGAGCAACCAGAGCCATTGCCGTGTGCCAGGGGGTACAGCAGGCTCAGGGGCTCCTCTGGGCCACCCTTCACAGCAAAGCTCATGCCCAGACCCTGGAGCAATGGAACATGGAAAAGTGACCAACCACTCCTACATCACAGTCATGACAGCAACAGGAAAACAATCCAGGTTCTCCCGATTTCAGCCCAGGGACAGTGGTTTAACTAAACACCAAGCACCACAACAGGAGGCTCTCTGGTTATGGCAAACATTCCCAATTGCTACAAACTTCTGAAGACTTCAGTACCATTTTAGAAGTGCAGATATGTAACTTCTTTTTTTTTTCCAATATCCTGGTTTGGGAAAAACAGATCACCTGAGAAACCTAACAGATAAAAGCTTTCCACAACCTATAGTCCTGCTTGTTTTCACTACTTAAAGACCCCCTCAGAAAACAGTTCTGAGTCTCAGTGTTTTTCTGCCCTTCCCTCCCTCAGTGCTGCCTGCTCCACGGCACAGGCACTTCCCACAGCCTTGTGGTGCCCACGGAACACCACGGCAAAGGCACCGAGGCACCAATCTCCCACAGCCTGCAGTCTCCTCCCTCCTGCAGGAGTTTGGGATCCATGCCCTGCTGGTTTGAGATCTGTGTCTGCTGGAGCCACTACCCAGTTACAAAATGCTCTGGGTAACTCTGCCTCCCTGCTCTGGAATGGTCAGCACTTCTCACTGGAGCCCTCATAAATTCTGGGTACACAGCAGCTGGGGCAGAGCTGCACAAGCTCCATCACCCCCATCCACACAAAACAGCAAAAGGTTAATTTAAAATCCCTTCTCTAGGCAAACCCTACAGCTGGTTAATGCCGAACAGCTGTTAACAAAAGTTGTATATTAAAAACATTTATACACATTCCTGTTCTTTGAATAACTGTCCTGGAACTAAGTGAAAACTTGCTACCCTGCTCTAACAGCACATCCTTAATTAGCATATGTAGAGCACTAGTGCTCTGGATCAGCGGGATTAGGGATTTACAGTAATTATGGGTTGTTATTTTACACTGCATGGCAGTCCAATCACTCCCCAAGGGCCCTGAAACAGATAATACTGGTGCTCTGCTGGGCAAAACAAATTCTGACCTTCTTATCTCCCACAGGATGCTGTGTTCCATGGCTTTCATAAATACACTGCAGCTAACACTAAATGATTGCTGGCTATTACAATAAAGCTTAATGCTGCAGGATATTTAAATTACAACAATTTACAAAACCAGCATTCCAGTGAGAGCCGATCAAGGTCTGATAACTCATCCACAATAAATTAGCCAGTGCAACAGTTTTATTGTGATTTGATTAATTTTTTCAAGTCATGTGCTGTACAAACATTTGGTTTGAGTTATGAGTTTGGTTTGGGTGTGGCTATTTTTTTTTTTATTTCAAAGTGATTGGAATGATTAGTTTTTCAATTTATTTTGAAGTAGCAGGATGAAAACAGCACCCAAGTTTGATAGTTGGTCAGGACACAGGATTCACTGATGATCAGGGACTGTTACAAGAGCGTCCTCGGTAGGTCTGGAAATGGCTACATTCTGTGTAATAATAAAAATACAGAGAATATTTATCATGCAGCAGTAAGACCAACAAAAGCCACTAATCAGGTCCCTTCACAAGTACCCAGCTGGGTTGATTGAGAAGCAGAGATGGTTTCAGCCCCCCACACCCCAAGAATGCAGCAGACAGAGCTGGTCACTGTCCCAGAATGAGACAGTACAAAAATGCATTTACAGAAAAAAAACAAAATAAAAGCTTTTGAAATGTTCAGTCCTCCGAGGAGCAGTTAAATACAGCTCCTGTGCTGACAGCACTACCCAAAGCTCAAGTCAGTCACATTTAGGAAGAAGTCTTTTACAGGCCCAGACAGGAATCCACCTAATCACAGGATTCAGCACACACACATCTCCTCACTGGGAAACTTTCAGCGTTTCACTGAATTTGCCACGTGCTTCTGTGCCAAGAGAAAGCTTTTAACATGTGTTTGTGTTATAGACAACGTAACACCTCTAACAAAATAAAATGTATGTTCTCAGACACCTTAACCATTCAAGGCTGACCACACCAACTAGATCTCACCTCCTATTGCAGGAAAACAATGACATTCAGTGCAGCACTCAATTATTTAAAACCAAATGAAACCAAGACCCCAGTGCAGCCAAACAGGAATCACATCTGCTATGGCACCACCTCCTGCAAGTCCCAAAGCCTGTGCAATTGGTGCTCACCCTCCTACCAAGAGGGCAGACCATGATAAACTGCTCTGAAATTTCTCCCAAGATCCATTTTAGGCCAAATCACTGGCAATTCTTCAAACTGCACGCTGATGGGTTTCATTAGTCCTCCTTGTTCCACACTGTGGTAAGCCAGCTCACCTTGCACTAACATCTCCCTCCCTCAGGTCCCCTCAAAAAAATAAAACAGAAGATCTGGTGTGAGCAATCCCCTCTCTGTCATTCACTGACTAAGCCAGATGTGCAAAGCAGACATTTCACCCCAGCACTTGCTGGGTCCCTTCTTTGGGCCAGAAAACAACAGCTAAAGCAACTCCCCTGAATTATTTTCTGTAAAAGACCATAGACTCCTTCATTGGAAAAGGTCAGAACTTCAGCCACTACAGTGCTGACAAACACAAGGCTTCAGTCTGCTCCAGACAAGTCACCACGGTGCTCTGAGGTTCACACATTCCACAAACAAACACCCCAGAGCTCTGCCTGCATTTCTGCCACGTGAAAATAGATGTTTTCAGCTGAGCCAAAAGGAGGGCACAGACTACAAGAGACTGGTGGGTCACAGAACAGCACACTGGGCAATTCTCAATCTAACAGCTTCATTGTTTAACAATGCTGTTATGTGACACTGTTTTAATTAAATGCTCCCACTTCAACAGACTACTTGAAAAGTTAATTTTACAGAAGTAATTAATGTTTTCAAAGGTAATTTAAATGAAAGCTTTTGAAATTTTCAGTCCTCTGAGCAGCAATTAAATGCAGACAGGACCACGTGAAGTCCTTCATTTAGACCCACTACCTGAACAGTGCAACATCATCCATATTCACTAGCCTGGGTTTCCTTTGGGGCAGAGAGAGAAGAGAATTTCAGGGGTTTTTAGGAAAATGCCAGGGGTTTTTAGGAAAATGCCACTACTCCTTTTTTTATTTCTTATAAAGTCCATTCACTCAATTTATTTGTGCTCAAATCAGTCTTGTGTCTTTGAGCCCACTGCAATGGAAGTGTCTTCCTGGTCCTCTACCTGCACCTGAACAGAGCCACCCCACAGCAGTGCCAGCATGGCCACATCACTTGCTAGACCTGGGGAGAGTCACTTGGTGATTCAGGCAGAGCTTTCCCCCTTGAGATAAACCCCTTCAGTTAGAGGACTGGCATTTTCAGCAACATTTTAGCAAGCTGTAAATTCAGAACTGGTATTTTCATCAGCCAAACTAAAGATGTTCATCTACATTATTTAACACAAATAACCTACTACTCTAAGACATCCTCATGGATTTTTCACTATGCTTCTCCAGCTTTAGGTACTGTGAAAACACAGACTGGATTTCCTAAACAGGATAAATCAAACTAAGATACAAAATGGCAAAGCAGAATGACAAAGCAGGAAAAGGAGGAGGAAGGAAATTATGCAATGCAGTTGTTGAAGAGAAAATGTCCAGAAGTCAGGGTTTTCAGAACTTGGAATACCCAGGTCATTAAAGCAAAACTTATCTGCAGAAGAATTCTGGCATGAATTCTGCACAAAAGTGAACCCTCGGTTACAAAAGGCACTTTATGTCGTGTGCCTTGTTGAATACACAGATAAAACCTCATTCCTCACTATATTCCTTTTCACCATAAACTGTTGCTCTGAAAACCACCAAACACAGCCCTTTTTTCTCATGTTATCAAACTGACTTCCAATTCACCAGCTGGCACTGCTCCTAACCTCAGCACACAATCAGTGCCATGCCTGGTGGCATGAGCCTGAGGATCTGCAAGGGAAGCAGAGAGCTTTAACCATGACACATTTCACACACCTTTGATGCTAAAGCAAAGGAAGAGCTTGGCACAAGCAGCAGAACGAGCCTGAGCTGAGGGGGACACTGAGGAGCACAGAGAGCCTGAGGCAGGCAGGGCACAGAGCTGCCGTGGGCTGGCATCTTCTCTGCACTTACATTTCACAAACACGCTCAGTTTCCTTCCCCCGGCTGTCCTGCTGCTTCCCAGAGCTAGTCTTCCTCTCCAGCTTTGGCTTAAAACACAGGTGACATCATCAGTTCCTCTTTTTCATACAGCAGTGATGAAAAAGCTGATGACTTCTCTCCCCAGACACTCGTAACACAGCTGTGGGCTACACCTACTGCTGCTGAGTGACAAAGCCTGGCAGAACTTCATCCAGCTTTTAGCCTGACACCACATCTTCACATTCTCATTTCTCAAAGATAAACTATTCCAGCTAGAACTCACATATGAGATAAATTCAATGACAGATTTGCTCCCCCCTCACAGTAAATCAGTAGCAAAGCTTCATACATAAAATAAAATCCACTCAGCTGCGTTATCAAATCAATTCTAGCCACAAGGACAATGGAAATCAGCTCAGACCATTCATTACATCAAGTTCTCCAATTTGAAAAATGTTCTTACCTCAGGTTTATCTCTGTGTGTGTTTACAGCTTCGACATTCAGAAATATGGATTCTACTTTACATCCTGTTGATAGAAAACACATTTTTAGACACATGTGCTTTGAAAGTGAAGTTATAATAAAGATGCAATCTCATTTTAAGATGGTGAAGGTTAATCACTTTCCCCTTCTGATTTATACCAGAATTTCTGGAATTCTCAAGAGCTAAAGCTACAGAAATTAATTTGTTCTCCCTGGATGAATATTATTGTCAATCTGACAATCAATCTCCTCAGGTTAGCTTTATCATTATTTTCTTTGAAAAAAAATCTTTTTTTTAAACATACAAATAAAAACTTTCTTACTGAACGTTCATGTAACTTTATGTTTTAAACATTCTGGACTTCTGTATTACAGTAAAAATCCAAGATAAATGCTGCTCTCATTTCTTAAACACAAAAACAACTACAAGAAAGTACAGTGTGTTGTCAACAACCCCCATTCCTCTGTATGTGCAAAATGGTTTTAACCTCAAGCTAAACAGAACTTCAAAGCTGACTCCCAAAAAGGAACTTCTGTTTTACATTCAAAAATTCAAAATGCCAGTGAGGCAAGAAAAATTAAAACAGTGAGAAGAAACAACTATTTCCCAGGTAGTATAAACTGATCCACTTAGAGAATGATACTCCATACACCATGGCCACAGCACTTCAAGCCATGTCTGATTGCCAAACCCTGCTTATCTCACACAAACATGACTTTTATAAGCTACCAGTACTCTACAGAACATCATTAAAAGTCACTTCCTCTGACACACTAGAGTCCATCCTCTATCACAAGCAGGTTTCCAGATTTTTCTCCCCATTTATTCCCTGAAGTCATAACACACTCCACAGAGTTGCTACATGACAGAAAAAGGGGATTTCCTTAGAAAGCCACTGCACTTTAAAAAAATAAAAAGAAATTAGTAAGACCAGTATTTGCCTTCCCTTTGGGAAGCCTGTCCTTTTAAAGCCCATTTATCAGAAAGACTGTGAGCAAACACTGCAGGAGGGCCAGAAGTGAGAGAAATAATGAACTGTAAAACAGATTTTAAGGAGGAAAAGCACATCATCTCCCACTGGAGCAGGATCCTTACTCATCCTTCTGTCCACAGATCCACTGTGAGCCCTGAGAGCAAGCCAAGACAAGCTCTGAGCCTTGCTGCTGGCCATTCCCCAGGGCTGTTACACAGCAGACACTTCAGAGCCCTCTCAGCCCTTGCCACAAGCTGAGTTTAAGATCCAAAGAGAGCATTGTGTGGAGAGCTTTAAACATAAACCAAAGGGACAGGCCTTGCTCCACAGCAATTATCACGTGCATACTCCCAGCTCATTTTTGATTACTGAGGAGGAAGCTCCCACCTACATCAAGCTGCAGTTTCCCTTTCCATAGACCACCACTGCCCTGGACTGCTGGGTAAAGGTCTCACCCACCCTGATCCAGCTGTCAGGCTGTACCAGATGTTCCTCCACTGCAGGTCACACTCTTAAGGTGGGAATGATGCTCCTCTCCGACATCAGGAGGAGCAAAGCCCCGGGGGAGGCGTTTCCCCAGAACAGGCTCAGCTGGGAGCTACCAAACCCACCAGGTGTGATCCTGCATCCTGCCTGGCTGGAGCCAAGGGACACATCAGCTTGGAGCAGTGCCATCGATCACTACTGCAGAAATGATTTACACAGTGCTCGTGTTTTCAGATGGCTGAAGCGCAAACAGCAGGTTGGCTGAAATGTGCTCATCAGACATACATATCCAACACCTTAAAAAAGGTCAATGGCATTTCTTTCCCTCTAGTCAGAAGGGCAAGGACAGTGTTTTGTACCATGTTGTTTCATTCCTCTCTTAGTTCGTGAGCAAACACTCAAACATCCACACCCTCTTCAAATTTATGAACAGTCACCCAACTTCCCTCTCCCCAGCAAAGAAGAAAGAAAAACAGCAACAACAGCAACAAAAAAATAAAATCACCAGAGAATCCCCAAAAATCCAAAGAGCAAAAATCCAAAGAGCAAAAAAGCAAAGCCTTGCTGTGGAAAACAGGCAGACTCTAACAGGTCAGAAGAATCCAGCTTTAAAAAGCCCAAGTTTTAACCGCAGTGAACCTTTATTTTCAAAACCCCAGCTTGTCATGCAAGGCTGGGAACACCAGATGTCACCACAGCACAGGCTGTCGTTCCTGTAAGACGAAACTGCAACCAAACAACAAAAATCTCCTCACACAGATTTCCCAGCAACTACTTTGGTACATAATATTCTTTGTTTCAATTTCATTTGAAACTTAACAAAAAAACAAAGTACTGATCTGCACCGCTATTTTTCAGAGCTGATAATCAAAGACAGCCTCCAATTAATGTCTGAACCAGCATTTTTGAGCAATACATTTTTCCTAATAAGCTATGCAGATAATCCTCTGCCTGAGATACCATCTGAAGTGGGATATGAGCAGATACAACCCAGTCATAACTGAACGAAAATGAGCAGAGGGCACACACTAAGCTGAGGTGGGAACACACACAAAACTCCATCAGCAATCCATCAGCCTAAAGCCCAAGCAGGGCACACGGTAACCCTCACCCCACGCTGCCCACAGAGCCCAGGGAAAGCCCCTGAGCAGGAACAAATGCCAGCATCAACAAAGAAGGTGAGTTCATGGGGTACCCTCACAGTCCATGGAAAAGAAATAGCTCAGGAAAAGAGAACAAAGTTATGTAAGGCTAAGAGAACACATTTGGCAAGATGACAAACCTTTAGAAGTGCAAATTTGCCTGCCTTCTGAAAAGCAATACCCTCCAATACATCAATAAAAACTCAGATCTTGCTGAAGCAGACATGTAAATGCATGGGTTTGCCAGAAGAATTAGTGAAATAGAGTAGGAACTGAGCACAACACTGTCCCCTCCAGCAGTTACAGCCACTGGTGGTTTCAGGCCCTCAGCAACACATGTGTTTCCTGGCACAAGGCAAAGCAAGGATAATCCAGAGGATTCATTTACTCCAGAGCAAAGCTCTGCAGGCATACACGCAATGTCAAACCTGACTATTTTAAAGCAACATGAAGTGTGTCTTCAACATTCCACCACCTTTCCTGATAACAGAGACAGTATAGCCAGACTTGTATAACAAATGTACATAACTGCACTTACCATAAGCCACCGGGGTTAGCTTTAGGACGGTATGCAGTGGGCACTTCAGGTAGGGCAGTTGTTCTGAGAAACCAAACCACAAATTACACATGAACTACAGGTTACAACTGACTTTTCTGTTATGTTTCATGTCAGCTACTTGAATGACTTTTTACCTAACGGGTATCTCTTCTCCTAGCATGCAACGGAGATGCTAATCAGAGCAAAAAACAATTATCACAGTATTTCAGGTGAGGAGCAGCTCAATAACATCAACCACCGGGTTTCATGTGGGGGTCAAATACGAAAAAATACACTTGGGTACTTGCCTAGCATTACCAGCCTCTGATGATACAGCAAATTGTTAGAATTTACTGTATGGAACCTTAAGCAGTAAACTTTCAAAAAACCAGCCTGTTTGTAATGTATCAAGGAAGACTCACCTGCGGGCTTGTCAAGGAAATACGCAAGCAAACAGCGCATGACAGCTTGGTGACAAATGACAAGCACATTTTCCTGCCTTTCAAGTTCCATAATTACTGGCTCCAGCCTCTGAACAAGATCTTCATAGGACTGGGTGGGGAGGAGAAACACAGAGCACATTAAAAAGGGAAACTCTTTGAACAGTACATATATATATATACACAGAGGAGATCTTACTTTCATATTAGTCATCTTCTAAATGTTATTTAGTGCACAAATACTGCAGGAATAATTTTCATTAAACTAAGAACACAGTTCAGACCTAAGCACATAACAAAACAAATCTCCCTCACAAAAAAGATTTTTTTAAATTAGCCACTTTGATCAAGAATTTCCACAAAATCCCTAGGATTTAATTCACATCTGCAAATAGGACTCTTGCACATTATTTTCCATAGCTCATCTTCAAAAGCATCTCTCTTCCAAGTCCAAATCTAGGAAGCTCAGCCAACAATGAGCATGCAAGGAGTTCACAAAGCCTGACTTGTTCAGGCTGCCCTTTCAAAAGAAGCTGTGGGCACGTTGGACTTGCTGGTGACCTGTCCTGCCTGTCATGCACAGGGAATTGCTGCTGCAGGGGAACAGCAGGGCTCCTGCATGGGCACAACTGAATTAAATTTTACATGCATGGTAAAGATTCTGCTGCCAAAATGCACCTTGTACTCCCAAAATGTGTCACGTACCACAGGTAGGGCTCAGCACACTGCCCAGCAGGGCAGGGACCAAGCACTGCAGAAAACCTTCACCCTGGTCCCCAGGCAGGACCAAGTGGCACTGCTGACTGAGCCCTGGACAACAGAAAGCCCCCAGCCCCCCAAGAACTGTGCAAACCCCTCACACTGTCACCAGACACAAAACTGCCTAAAACAAACACTCCTTGTTCAAATGCAAGAGAAGCACTTTGCAGCTTAATGACTGCCTCATTAGCAGGACCGGGGCCACACTGCCAGGGACACTGCTCTTGTCACAGCGATTGCTCTTGAGGAAGAAGGCAGAGCTCTGCTTCCTCACAGCTCAAGCAGGAGCAGCTGGGCCAATCCCTCCTCCAGAGCCTCAGCCCCCAGCAATAGCCCTGTGCCCATCTGGCCATCACTGCACTGTACTGGGGCTGCTTTACAAAAGCCATCAGCAAGTTTATTTTCCCAGAGGCAAGGAGTTTAATAACGTGCCTGGAGATTTCCCCAGCATTTCAGCCAGAGCTGCCTGCAAAACAGCCACCACCAAGAGCAGGGATGAACAGAAACAGAGCATCTTAGCAGCACGTTGATATAAGCAACAGTTGAAGCCCTGCAGTAATTCCTCCTGCACAGGTACAATGCCCACAAGATCAAAGCTCTCCATTGTTTTTCTAAATTTATGCTTTTATTTTTCAAGCCCTGAATCAACATAAGTGGTCTGGGCTCAATACTTGCAAGATCCTATGTGCTTTTCCACAGTGAAAGGAACAACCTTTTCATTAATTTAAAAATTTACTTTAAAGCCAGCATGCATATATGCAAGAAGACAAGGAATCCCTTCGACTTGTGAGATTAAAAATAGCATACCTCTCCTTTAGGGTATCTGTATCTGTATTTGTCTTGGTCTCTCAGTGCAAATTCAAGAGGATAATTTTCCTGTATTTCTTCATATGTCATTTCTTCACACACTCCCTGTCAGTAATGAAAAGAATCAAAAAACATGTATTCCCAGTAATACAAAAAGCAGATATTACTCTTAAGTAAAACCATATACAAATAACCTTTAATGGTTTTATGTTGCTACTCTGACACTTAAAATTGTGACACATGATAAACAGGGCACTCAACTTGACTCAGAGGTGGTTAGGAGGAATCATTAAATCCCTTTACAGGTGAAGTTACATCTATGGACAAAGCAAGGTCATGTTTTATCTACTGCATCTCCTATTATATCTTACAGCTGCAGCTGGAAATTGCCTTAGCAAAGCCCCCCACCACAAACTTTTCTTTCCAAGCCCAACTAACCAAAACTTCATAACATCATGGCTTCTACAGAGGAATGTTTTACTGGGGAAGACAAGAGAAGAACAAATTAACAATGGCAAAATTTAATGAAACGTTTAGCCTTGTTTACAGGTAATGACAATTATTTCCAGCCTCAAGAAGCAGCTTCAATGATTTTCTATCCCATAAAAAACATATTATTAAAAAAACTAAGTATTTTCTTAACCCCCCAACAGTCAAAGCAACTTATTAGGCATTTAAAAGAGAAGAACTTACTGCATCTATCTCATTCAAAACCTTCCACTGCTCATAAGGCACTCCCAAGGCTTCAGCAGTCTGAATTGTCCTTTTCATCTGGCTGGTCCAAACTTTCAGATCTTTGATATTTTGCTCATTAATAAACTGTGCCAAGCTTCTGGCAAACTGGAAGAAAAACCAAGAGACAGTGGATGAGGGCTCAGAGCCAACACACGGCGTTCAGTTTAGAATACACGGGTTCCAGCCTCTGTAAGCTCACTGTAGCTTTTCCAAAAGACTGTCAAAGGTTTTGCTAAGAAATACAACCTACTCCATTATCCAAGAGGGGCGGGAGAAAGAAAAGAAGTACAAGGAAAATACAAATTTTTAGCAGTTCTCAGCTTTCCTTCCACTTACTTTCCTGTCAGCTTTAAGTTGTGTACACTTTCCCAATTACCCAACTAGTCAGGATTTCACAAAAATACAGTTAAAAAATAAAGCCCACTTGCCAACTGCTTTGTAGTGCGGGTTAAAAAGGAATTTTAGCCAACAGAGAGACCAACAGATAAAAGAGTACACACCACAACACACAAAGTGCCCGTCCTGTTTCCACTACCCAAACACACAACTAAAGAAGTCCTTTAAACTCATTAAGAGGACAAGGCAGTAGAGGAGGAAAGCTGCAAGTGCCCATCACAAACGCCCACAGCACAGTTCCACCTGGCTGGAGGTACATACCTCCTTGCCCCTGACAGACAGCCCAGGATCTCCTCCTATTCTCCCCTTCAGGTTGAGCTCGCTCTCTCCGTGGCGGCAGAGGTAGATTGACCGAGGAGTCACATGGATATTCATGAGGTAGTAGACAATCCGGCTCTGGATGTGATCCATCACTCTGTTCACCAGGTAACTCCTTCCCACATCCATAATTTTAATGTAAGAAAGATCCCTTTCATGAGCAAGTTAAAAAAAAAATAAAATGTAAGGTTCCACATTGCTGCTATTAGCACGCACCACAATCTTTCCAGCCTCTCTGTCCTTATGAAACAAAGGGGCAACAAGCCAAAGAAATGAAAAAATCCTCAATTAGCCATGGAATATGCATTAGTCCTAAGAAATAACTCGGTACTCCAAAGGTACAGGATGAACTCTATTCCTTTCACGTGGAGCTGCACACATCACTTTCTTTTCTGCTTCCTTTACTTGCATTTCGTCCAAATCTAGATCCTACTCTTGGAAAAATACAGCCCACACACTAAAAAGGAGATTCAGGGGAGTCACTTAAGTTACCACAGCTAAATAAGATATACAGCTATTTTACAATACCATTTGGGGTTTTTTTTTCCCAGGTTACAAACACTTTCCATCACCAAGTGTTTGTCTGACTGCACCATGGGGCCATAAGGAATGGTCACTAATTACCCATCTCAGTCAATCCCTCCAGAAAAAGTAGGGCACCAGAAGAGCCTGGGAGTAGTCTGAAGCAAGACATCTTCTCAACTGCTCTGTGAGCAACCCTTTGTTAACTGTACTGTAATCTACCCCACCACTACCTTATCACAGCATCAGACAGCTTATAATTTCAATTTTCACTACTTATCCTTTATTATCTGAGCTATAATTCTAAAGCAGCCTCTCATTCACACAAGGAAAAATGTCTCACAAGCTGAAAATAACCATTATTGGTTTCTAGCTATGTGTTTGAGACACCACACTGCAATAAAACAAGAAAATGATAAAACCAAAGAGAGGTAGTGAGAAACAGGCACCAGCACCCTCACTCCTGCCCGTGTTCCTTGGAGTTAATCACTGCTATTCCAGCCAGGCACAGCCATTAGGTCCATCACAGGAATTACACGCATGAACTGAGCCGATTGAACCGGCTTCACGCTGCTCACGCTCAATTACATTAAAATGCAGCTCAGCCTTCCCTGCAGCTCTGGCCTGGAACAAACCAGCAGCACCTGGGATGGCTGCAGCTCCAAATCCTACTCTGAAATCCTGGGCTCTGGCAAGAAGAAAGGGGCTCCTCCTCACATTCATCCCCACCTTATTTTCCGGAGTTCAAAGTTAATAAAAACCAGAAGAATGCTTTGGCGTGAGGATAAATAATGTAGCTGAGACAGCTTCTCAGAGCCCTGCATCTGCAGGATAATTTTGCAAGCACAAGGAAATTAATTCAGAAGTCACATTTTTAAGACTGATGTGTTCATAATTAACCTTCACCATACCAACCAATTAAGTTATGTTTACAAATCACTCATGTCTCCTCTATGTACCAAAAAAACAAGAGCTAACCAACCTCTGTAGAAAGTCTGGAGTAATTGCTAAATGCTGGTTCCATCCCAGAAGAATAAATACCATTCTCCAAGTGGGAAAATCGAAAAGAATATTGTCCCAGACTAGACTCACTAGCCAATTTTCCTCAAATAAGGAAGTTTCCATGCTACACCCTCAGAGTCAACACTATCTAAATTGCCAAAGGAGAGAGAGATCAAGCCACTAAAACAATGGTTTGAAAGCCCTAATCCCCAATACAGGATGCCCCAACCCTTAAAATAACATTTTAATAGTATTGTGATCACCAGCAGTAATAACAGTGCTGTTTCATCACTTACTTGTCCAGAGTTTCATCTAAGGTCTCATACGAGTTCTTGTAGCACTCTATTCTTTTCATGAAGTCTTCTGTTGCTTCATCATTACTACAATCCACATAGTCAGGACTACCCAGCTTCACTTGCTGTTTAAAAAAAGACAGAACAACAGTATTTAAATTTCTTCCCTTCTTCATGGACGTTTAAAGAAATAGGGAGTGGGAGAACACAACAAAAAGTTTTGTCTGCAACTTATTAAAATAATGCAAAGCAAAAAAAAAAACCCCTACTCTTCAGAGAATTAAACTTCTGCGTTAGTAACATTCACATGGACAGGGAAAAAAAAATCCATTAATGAGAGCTAACATGGGGGTTTTGCTATTGGAAGTTCTTATAAGGTACTTCCAAAAATACTAAGCTACATTAAACCTCCCAATGTCAAGCCATTAAAGCAAACTTTACTCACCACAATATTTGCAGCAATGACCTCTGGATCAACACATACAGACTCCACAAAAAAGGTCTTCAGTCCAAATGGGAGGAAGAAGGAACAGAAGGGAGGAAGAAGGAAGATGCATGAGAACACCTCTGCATACCAACACACAAGCAGCATGTCACCCACTTCCATGCCAAGGCCCTTCTCCCTCCATTTACTCAGAAAGCTTCTCCAGACCCTCTCATCAGAAATCCCTGGCTCCCCATTCCATGACACATCATGCTCTGTGCTCTTTTCCCCAACAATGCCTGTAAGTGGAAAATTCTTGCCACAGAAAAAACGTAGGATGGAAGGGGAAGAAACAAATGCAGAGGATGCTAGTTCAGCCCCACTAACAGGAATTAACATTAATGAAATAACATTTTAGAAGCCTCCCAGCTCATGGAGTAGCCTCCCTTATAAAGAGCCTTTTGTTCTGCTGTATCAAAGGCTTGCAGAGATTAAGCTCAGAGGAAATGAAAGATGACTGGATAACAGCTAAATATAAAACCAGAAGGCAGAAAACCACTAAGTTTTTGGTTTCTACAGAACTAACACAGAACCCCCTTCATGTTCCTGCAGCAAAGACATAAACTGCATGAAGAACCATACATTAAATGTCCTTTCTGACACTGCACTCATGACCACAGGTCCAGGAAGTCAAAATTGAAGCTGTAGCACAAAATAGCCTAGCTCCAATCAGTACAAACAGTAAAGATGAGAAAAATGAGGACTGAATGATTTCTAATCACAAACAATGCTTAGGAACATAGAACACATTACTGATTAAACATCCAAGAAGGACATGGCTTGTGCTAGTGCACTTAGAGTACAGATAAGGGCAAAACTACCACTGGCTTACCTGGCCATGCAATAGCTCAGAACTGCTTTGCTTTGACTCACCTTATATCCGTTTTCTTCACCAAATTTATAAATCGTTTCTCTACGTTCTCGAGTTGTGTTTGTAGCATCAAAGACCTAGGAACAATTAAAGGGAGAGAGAAAAGGAATTCCAAAAGCAGCACAGCCTGTGGAAAGCACTGTCTTAGTAACAACAAAATCATGGATTCCAAGTCCCTTGGTGTGAAGGAAAGCAATGGAAACACTTCCCCTTCCCTCTCCCCCACTATCTCAACATGCTCAACAAGAAAACAAAGACATTACTATTTTACACACAGTATTTTCTAAATACTAAAATTTAGCAATATTTTGGAAGCAATCCTAGCAGAACTCTGGATTTGGAAAAGGAAATCAGAATTTAAGCCTAGCACATAGTACAGGAGAGACTCTTCCTTCTTGCCCATTATCAGCACTAAATATTAACGCACAAGTTTTAGTGAACTTACACTACCAAAAAAAAGATGCTGCAGTTCAATAGGCTGCTCAAAATGGAAGTGTGAAACTTGCAAGAGCTGTAAATCCTGCCCATGAATAACACCATCAATGCAGCCATTTTTCTAGGAACTCAGTTTAGCTCTGAACACATCAGTGTTTCACTAAATTATGAAGTTTGCCAAAGCATAACATCTACCTCGTGTATCCAGCAGAACTTACAGTTAATGGTTTTCCCTGTTTAGTTAATAAAAGCCCCAGAGTTGTGTCAGTAGTCTTAAGACAAAAATTTTAAAAATTAGTCTCAACACGCAATGTCAGTAGTGGAAGAACTGATGTTTTGCATCCCATTATTAAACACTCAGGTACGCACCAAATTATTATTAGTCTCTCCTGCTCTCTTCAGACATTTCTCATGCCAGTAACAAGTGCCAAGAGGATACTTTTTGTTCAGCAAGTCTTTACCTTCCACTTGGAACACTAAACTACCAAACAGACATGCAAGCAAAATGGCAGATGTGTTTAATGGTACATTGTGGAACACTGTCCTATAGTAATGTGGAGAGAAGGTGGACTTTTTTCTTGGTGTCATCCACCCCTCAGCTAACCCCTCAAATCAAAGGCAGTTGCCCAATATGGCACCATCAGCCTGAAATTCAGCACTCACTTCACTGCAGCAACAAGGCAGACCTAACTGTCAAAGGAATGAAATCCGGTGTGCTGGCTAGCTGCTGTCACCACTCAGGCTGTGCATTACCCAGCAGACACAGAGTTTAGTGCAGAGGCACCTCAAGAAGGTGTCTCCAAGAAGAAACTTACAGCCACGTGCCCGTTCTCCTCGCTGAGGTACTGCCGGACGTCGTTCAGCGCGGCTAAGGCACACTGTCTTCAGAGGGAAAGAATCACAGTCAAATGCTAGATAAAGGCGTTTTGTCAATGCACTAGGGAGCAAAGGGCCCTGAAAATGTTATGATCATTTATCTCAGAAACACGCATCTCCCTCCAAACATGGGAAAAAGCCAACAGAGGCCAGCCAAGCTACAGTAAGGAAATGTGGTCATGCCACCTTGCTCCTCTGTGTCACTGACACAGCTACACATGCTCACAGAACACCCATCTACTTTGCTGACCACGATACACTTCCACTGATCTAAAATAACACCACTGAAACATCCCTGCAACTGAATGCTTTTCCCAATTACCTATTCATACATAACTGCTTCTTAATTTGATTTGCAAAATAAGAAACAAAATTAACCAACTTAAGGCCTTTACCTTGTGGCACTAAGTTGGAGAGGAAAGTATTTTTCAGTAATCTACTTACTCTCTTTTGAGCTATTTCACTTCACAAGCAGTGAAAACTGCTTATGTAGAAAAAATTTGTTAAAACAGAGAGCAAAACAAAGGTAGCATAAAGTATTAGTGACTGAGGTGAAATATCATCCCACTGCAGTCACCAACCCAGTGTAATTAGTACTGGAGACAGCTGAGGACACAAACACCAAAAATCCCCACCCTGACATACTTTACACTTGTGTTAAATCTGGACAAGAACACATGAATATGCAACTTCCCTATGTCCCCAGCACTAGCATTATCTTCAAAGTCCATTATGATTCCTAACACATCAGTAATGCTGGAGGGCAACATTGTACACGATTTACTTGTTAGCAGAACAAAGCCCCATTTATTCCCAGTAAGTACAGCCTCTCTGCAGTACCAACATAAAAGCCTGCCCATTTCAACAGCCCTTCCCTACATTACTCCTGAATTTTGATTCCAGACACAAATTCGTAACTCCCCTATTTACATCTTCTGGAAGCAGAGCTTTATCTTGAAAGAGAAATGAAGGCTTTTGGATCCTGACAGTATTTCCACATTAGCACAGTTAACAGATGTCAGGAGCTGAGATTCATCACCCAGGTCTTCACTGAATAAATACAAACCCTCTTTACTCACTGCTAACCAGGCAGATTATCTCACACAGCCCATTTCATGCTACATCCCTCACCACTTAGCCTAATAGGTGGCACAGAGGCACATTAAAAGGTTTGGCTCTACCGGTCAGAAAAAGGTAGTGTAAACTGCTCTTTATCCCCAAGGATTGGGAGGTTCTTATGCAAGCTGTTCTCTTCAATGCTGCTGAAGGGGAGAAAGGCAAGAGAGACGGGGGACAAGGCAAGGGACAGCCACAAAAGAAAGTCCAGATATTTTTGATGCATAAGGTGAAGTTGAATTAAGAACAAGACAGTCCATATTTTAAGTAGCCTAACTAAATATTATTTCCATCCATCTCAGATTTCTCATTTCCTTCTCATTTCACACTGCACGCTCTAAGTGCTTTCCTGAACACACTAAAAAGTACAGTGAGTGTCCAAGAAAATCAAAAGGCCTTGTTTCATCTCCTCTAGGAAAGAAGCAGCTCCGTCTTGCTCTGACCTTTCTTCTCAAGGTCTGCCCCGCATTAAAGCACAGCCTCTTTCCAGGCAGGAGCAGAGACTCAACTGCTACATCTGGACACAGAACTCTGGTTCTCTCCTCGCTTTGCACAGCATTAGCAAAATATGGCAGTTTTTGAGGCTGTGCATTGAGGGACTGAATGAGGCACCTGCATGGTGGCCAAACCCACAATTTCAGGGAGAAAATTATCATGTTTGATTCTCACTGATTTCACAGATAATGGTGAATACATTCAAAGTGTTCTAGATGAACTGGAATTGCACTTTACAGATCAAAAAGAAAAGCAGTTAGATGTTTTTTTTCCTTAATGAAGCAAACAAAAGCTCTAAAATTGGATTTTAGGAATTACGCAGCAGAAAGAGTCACATATATTAGCTGCTACTTTACAAGAAGGTTGGAAAAGTTATAACTACCCATTAAAATAGCTTTTGAGTGAAAATATCCTACAGTATCTACAGGAGTAACAGTAGCCACATTCTAATGAAAAGGAATCAAGAAGGACTTCTTTCCATTTCTGATGCTTGAGATGAAACAATCAAGAAAAAAGGATCCCCAAATTTTAATCAGCCTAAAGCAATCACTATTCCACCTTCTCTAAAATGTCTTTTCCTGCAGTCTCCCTAAGGGTCTTCTTGATCATACAAAAATGCAACTTCATGCAACCTCTAAGAGCAAATTACACAGGATATCCTTTTAATACAATTAGCATGGTGTCCCAAGCACAATCAAAACTTACTTCCTGATTTTCAAGCCTTCTTCATTATCAGGCAGGAAGAATTCAAAGGATTTATACTTTTTCACCAGATCTCGACGATACTGACCAACATTAAATTCTGCCAAGAGAAACCAGCATTAGCAGGAGCCAACAACAGGCACATGAAAAGGACAAAAGTTATGACAACTTTGAAACCAAACTTCCTGCAAAGATAAAATAACTTGGCCTGTAAGAAGCCAATCTACCATACTTCTTTTTGTGTTTTGTGAGGTTTAAAATAGCAAGACAGCAATAAATCTTGGAAACAGCTGAAGGACATTTGGGCTGTAGTCACCCTACTTCAGTGGCCACTCTGTAGTGCCTTTGTCTGCCAGTTTGCCTGGACAACAAAAAGAAATTATTTTCCTCCTTTTCAGGAGTTACTCAAAGTCTATAAAGGACTAGTAATGATTATTGGTATTAATAAAAAATTATTATCATTAGCTTTTTCTTCTATGTATATGTACAGTGAAACAGTTGCACCTCCCAAAACTTACAACTCTTTATTTCAGCACAAGGCAGAGCTCTAAATAGAACTACACAATCTTGCTTTAAGTAAACAAAACTTAAAATTCCCTTCGTGAAAACATTTTTTCAGAACCCTGCTCTAATATTTCTATTCCTTAAGGATTAGTATTTCACAACCCTCGTTCCACTTACTGGGAAAAAAAAAAAAAAAAAAAAAAAAAAAAAAATGGCTAAAAAAAAAAAAAGATCATTTAAAAATCATCCTAAGTATGAAACAATCTCACCTCAGTGGTCACAAAACATCTCCTCCTTATCTGGGCAAAGGTGCTAAAGGTCCATGGCCAAACACAACATCAGGTTGCAATATCAGGTATGGGATTAAGGCAAGACACTTCTGCTTTGCCCCAGAGCAGAATGGCACTGAACCCTAATTAATTTCATTCAATGGCTGTGAAAGCAGGCCTCTGAAATGCAATTAATGTTTGAGTTGCTCCAGACCTACAGGTTTTTTCTGTTGAACTGCAAAGCTTTTGGTTTTGTTTCTTTTAACATTAAACCACACTGAAGTATTCTGTGTGAGATGCTGCCAAGGTACAACTCTATTTGCCAGGCTACATTTCTGGAAAGAGGAAAAGAAGCAGTAGACTCAATTACAAGGTTGTAGTTAAGAAAGAAGACATAGAACAGAAAAACTCATGAACCAGCTGCTGTATACAGATTGCTGATGGGACTGGAGGCATAGGATAAAGATATAAAAGTTATTTTTCTCCCCAAAAGTCAAGCTTTGTTTGAGCTCAGCAGTGTTGATGGAATTCATCATGACATGGATTACAGAACAATCCAGGTTATTCTGTGATGGTTTTAATAAGCACAGGCCACAGTGGCTACATCAAAAGGTGGGTCCTTGTAAAAAACAACTAATTTTATGAGAAGGAATAGTTACTGCCAGAGGGGCATGCACAGCAGAGGAAAAAGTGCTATCTAGTGGGACAATCTCCAGCCTTTATTCTTAGCAGCCACACCTATGGAAAAGTTTCCCAAAGCTCAGTGGTATCACAACCACAACTATTCAAAAAAGCTTCCAAGGCTTAGTTTCTCAAAACCACATTGCAACACAATTCTATTCAGGCATCTAATTGACCTCATTTCCTTCAAAAAGCACAGATAAAAGTCCCCTGCACTTTGAACCATTTCACATTCTATATAACAGAAGATTTTGGAAGGAAAAAAACACAGAAACAATGACTGAAATGATTTAACCATCACCAAAAGCCTGGGCTATTTACCTCCACCTTCTGTTCTTGAACTCTCCAGCTTGTTTAACATTACATGAAAAGATGGCATTTATTTTTTCTCTGGTTTACATAACCTCATAATTTGAACCATCTGTCTCAGAGAACAAGGACTCCTGCTAAATTAAGCGCACACTAATTTTAAGACATTAAGAGCCAAAGGGTAGCAGATGTTAGGGCTACTTGATACTGATCCTGTATCAGTTCAGTCCCACCAACTGGAAGAATCCGGGAAAAATGTCATCTATTCCCTCAGACAGGCAGTGAGGTGTTTCACACGGACTTCAGTAAAATTGCTTCACTGAAGACACAAACAGAAAGGCTCTGTGGTTTTCTGAGAAAATCTCAGTCACCCTTTCTAACAAACAATACTCAGCAACCAAGGACAGAGACTCATCTGGCAACTTTATATTGTATATTTTGTAAAATCAGGCAGCAATGTTCTACCTGTTTTTCATCAAGCACAAGTGTGTGTGTGTTCTGATGTGCTGCTCACAGTAACCCACAGAATTTTTCCTACCAGCTGAGCCAAACCCCACCTACAGTAAAATTAATATCTGGGATACATTCAACAAAGCATGAGCCAGATGTGGATAGTATCTTGCTTGCTGTCCAAAACTGGACTTCTGCTTGTCAAAGATCGCAAAGTGAAGAGCTCAAACTCAATGACATTTGTACATAATACATCCCATAAATTTAAGTTACACGTGTATCTAACATACAAAGCATTTTGTCACCTTGGATATATGCTAAACTACTTGGATTGTTATTCCATTTCAGCCTAATTGATAAAACTGAACTCTGAACAAGCTGGTACTAGTCATCAGAAGGGTTAAACCATGTGAAAACAGTAAAAATCAAGTGATAACTTAAATCCTGTAAACTCTCATACTTAAACAATTTAACATATCCCCCATAATGTCTCTTCTAAATAAAGCACATTATACAAGTTCCTAAAAATGTAAGAAAACACCCACACGAAAAGCTTTACCCTAGAATCAAAACGCAGTTTAAATATAGGCCAGAATTTTTCATCTTGACTTCTTAGAGTGGCTAGGAAATACATCTCTGAACAGCCAGCCAAAACTCCACACATTAGTATGACCTCACATGTTTAATGTCATTTAAATTATTCACTAGGCATAAAGCTGCTATTTCTGCACTGGACACAATCACAGCACACCAAATGTGCCTTGCTCTTCTGCAGAGGGACAGGAGAAGGAAGGGGAGGTGGCTGCTCAGAACCTCAAATGCACTTAGGCGCTGTTTTTACTGGGCCCACAAGATAGCACAGGAGCCCAGGCAGGTCCTTGGCACAGCCAATCTGAGCCATTTCCTACCCAAAACACACAGAAATCTTTAAGGAGGTGATAACAAGTGGCAACTGGCTGCCTGGTCTTTGGGCTCTTAGTATTTAGACAAAGAGCTGCAAGTCATTCCACAAACAGAAAGAACTGCAAGTAGCACAAAGTTCACAGAGAAAAAAAAGATGGAGAAGTCGGGAAGTTTAACCCAGAACTGCTCAACTGCTTGTAAACAACATTCCTTTTCACCTACATGAAGAAAGGAAAAGGGAAACAAGGAAAAAATAAATAAACAAAAAAGGGCAATGTTTCATGACAAGGGAAAAAGGTTGATTTAGGCACCTGGTAGAGCAAGAAGGTAAAAGAACAGTCAACATAATTTGACTAAACACATAAACAGCAACGTGCCTGTAAATGTTATTCCTTAAAAATACATTAACAAAGCAGAAGGATTTTAAGTAGTCAAACTTGGCAACAAAATTACTGGAAATCAGGTTCATACACCACCCAACGCTGTGCCCTGTCCTTCTGATGTAAACAAAATTAAAGCCATCACCTTTCGTGGGCACTCCAATCCAATTTAAGTAGCGTGTCAGCTTCTTGGAAATGTAGGTTTTTCCTCTTGCTGGGAGACCCACCATGACAATCAGAGTAGGGCAGTTGGTCATACATACTGCAAGAGAAACAGGAACAGGATTTACCAACAGCACTCCCACAAAGGCTGCAGCTGCTGCAGGGGAAAGCCCCTCTCGGAGAGCTCCCCAGCAAGGTGCCCACCCAGCAGCTCATGCACTGTGCCTCACCATTGGGGGCTCCACAGCAGGACAGTGACCACCCTTCTTACGCTGCATTTTGGAAGGGTGAGCCAGGGGAAGTGCAATGATGGACATGTGAGGTGTAAATGGGCAGGAAAGAAGAAACCTGTGTACTTGCACACAGAAACAATACCAAAATAAAGGTAACTGACGTCTTATGCCCCTCTGTACCTCAGTTCAGTGCTTGCATTGAAAGGAAACAGCAAGGTGTACAGTTTTAAAATAATTCTTATATTTTAAGACAACACCTAAACATTGGTCAACCTTTTCTTGATTTTGAGCAAAACAAGTATGACAAATGCATCCTAATACATTACAGTAAGACATGCTACTCACTACTGATTATTTCTCCTTTAAGTATAATTAACACTAAAATCTCTCCTGAGCAGTGCTCATTTTGGCTGTTACTAAGAATAAGACAAGTACTCTATACAATCAAGTACAATAATCTGACATAGATATATGTACACACACTAAATCAAAGCCAGAGCATTTAATTTAAAAAAAACCAAAACCTCAACACTCTAGGAGGCTGAAGGAATTGTATGTATAATTATAGATATATGTACACACTCTAAATCAAAGCCAGAGCATTTAATTAAAAAAAAAAACCTCAACACTCTAGGAGGCTGAAGGAATTGTGTGTATAATCTGAAAACCTTGAGGCATTTCCTTTCAAAGCACAAGTTTTTGAACATTTTAACAGCACAAAACTAAGGATACCTTGCATTAATCTATCACAGCTACAAGGAACTCCCTAAAAAGAAAGAAGATATTAAAGTGAGGCAGATACCACCAGCTCCCTCCACCCTCTATTTTTAAGGGAATTAATTTCTATACAATCCACATGTGTAACAATTTCCTCAGTGCCTTGACAGAGGAGACATCAATGTACTCCAGAAGACCAAATCTCAGTGATTTGCTGTAAGGCATAACTGAACTAACTGTTGTACAAAGGGCTGTGATTGCTCAAAATTCCCTAACTCCCATCCCACAAAGTCACTTGCATAAATCTGGTGCAGACAGTTCATGTAACAGAGCAGATTAGCAAAGGCAGATGTGGTGTTTTAAAATGCACATTGGAAGACACAAAACAAAGAACATCAAAAATACACCACTTTTCATGAGGGAGAGGAGGTAAAATGGTACCCAATCTCAAATCCATGAAACAGTCAACTACTCCCTGTAATGACAGCTACAGGGAACTAAATGCAAACAAAACAGATCCATCCAAACATGACCAATTCTCTGGAAGGACACTGGTCAAAGCCCTCAGAGTAAGTTCCTCTGTGCAGAAGCCTATAAACAAGAATGTTAATAATTTCTTTTCCTCTTTGTCATAACTTCAGGCTGTGAACCCCCTCTCCAAGAGGGTGAAGGAAGTCTCTAGGGAAACAACAAAGTCTGTGGAGTGCCAAGAGCACAGTGCTTATTAAGTTAACAGCCTTGCTTCCAGCTTTAAGGACAGTACAGTAAAATACTGAGAGGAGAGAGACCCCTGGGCCCCAAGACATTTTAAGAGAAGACCTTTTTCGTCAAAGCCTGTTCAAAAGGTCCTTCACCTGAAACACTTAGCTCAAGTTTTGAACAATATTTCAGTACAAGCAGTGAAGTAAGAGCTGTAAAGACAAACCAGGATCTGTACAGAAAGGCTTCATACACAGCCCAAACTCCTCCTGCTCTGCACGGAACTGTGCTGCAACAGGCTTTTCTATCCATTCCAAGCAGAATTTGCCAACTTTTTGTTCTTAGAGGACCTCTTTTTTTTTCTTTTTTTTTTTTCTTTTTCTGGTCCTGGGTTCAGCCATACAAATTTCACCTTCTCACAGAATATTTGTCTTCTGGTAATGCAATGACAAACCTGTACTGGAGTAAAACTGAAGTCTGGGAAGCTTCCATGAAGAGACCTGCAAAGCACTTAAATTAAATGGCTGCTTCACAGATTATATCAACAGCTAAATTTCTAAATTAAGTCCTACTGCCTGCATGGTTTTCTAACCAAGCAGCAAACTAGATGAACACAACTGCAACATGCACGAGGGACATTCAGTGTGCCAGTCTGCTACCACCTCCATTTTTACATATATCTCCTCAAAGAAAGTACAAAACTAGCAAAGCTGCCTTTGTTAGAACCCCACGTTGTCCAGTTCAACAGATACATCTCACCCCTTATTCCAATCACTCTGGTGAGTAACCACAGAGCAGAAACCAAGAGAAATATCCCAATAAACAAGCAGCAATCCTGCTCTTGCTAGGTGCCAGGCTGACCAAGAGTGCTTTTATTCTATAAAGACAGATGCCCCTGTCTTTGTAAGGAGGAACATCACTGATGCCAACGATGCCAAATCTGCTTTTACAAAATGCCACAGCCCTGTAAGCAACATTACACAGGACACGGTGCTGCAGGACATGCCACCCCTCAGTGCTTGTCCTTAACAAGAGGGTGGCAGTTCATGGTCTAAAATTCAGGACACTAAAGAAATGTTTGGTGTTCTGGATTAGATGGCCACCAATGGCTTCAGCCTCATACCACCTGCACAGGTGGCACTCAGTGACAAACACACCTGTGCAGTGTCAAGTAGAAGCCAAAGGCACCTGTGCTGGCCAAAACAGCCCATTCACAGCTAAGTGGCAGGACTAAAAAGCACACAAAGCAGCTATTTTGCTTCTTCTGTACCTCAGTGTAGCATTCTCAACACATAAAGACTCAGCACAGCAGACTTTATTTCCTTCCTTATGATGCTGTGTAATTAACAAGGCTTAATTTTGCTCATTAGCTGAATTAAAAAGTTAAGACCAGAACAGAATGCCAAGTTCTGGTATGTATCAAATGGATGTAACAAATACTCCAAATAAATTAATTATCCTTCATTTTATCTAAACCACAGCTTTCTCAACAGAACATTGCCAACACTCACTGCAAGCAGGGAGAAACAGTCATTCCACGGAGGTATTTTCAATATCAGTGTCTCATGGCTTACATTTTCCCTTGAAGAAATGCAAGCAAGTTTGACACAAGGAAGTAGGCTGATAAAAATAGCCAAACATACCACAAATTACATATATCCCAGTGGCACAGTGGCCAATCCCCCTTTTCACAGCACCTCACCACCATTCAATTTATATTAAAAAACTTCCAGTGTGAGTTACAGGTGAGTGAGTTAGAGCCAAGGCAGGTTCCTAAGGGCAGCTTTCTCTCCACTCCTTACCACTGGATTGTCTGGTTTATCTTCAGAAATATCTCTACATGGTCCAGTCTCCAGAAAACAATCTCATTTTTCACTACTCCTTTGCATATATAACTCCTAAGGGCTTCTGACAGCCTCAACCTGTGGATATGTCATCAACACTAATTTTGTGGAACAGTAAAACAAAACTTACAGCTTGTACACCATCACTTGCTAAAGATGCCCTAAGACATCAGTCAGTTTTTTCTTTAAAACAGATGCTTGTGATAGATGCATTTAAGAGTGCATGTTTATAAACAGCATCGCCAAAGAGAGGGAACAGAGAAAAAAACACACCCAAAATACCAGTCAGTGAGGGAAAATGGCCAAATGATGAAATGCTGCAACTGAAGCAAAGTCATTATCCCAGTTTAATATTTCTTAAACATTAGAACAACACAGCAAGTTGCAGCTCGAGAGTAAAATTATGACTCCCTACCCTGCTGAAGTTTAAGACTTACCAGTCAAGGAGAAAGAAATTACATGTTTATTTCTTGCCTCTATTGTGAAATAACGCAAATGCAAAAAAGAAGGTTGTGAAACCAAACTGGGACATGGAACAATCTAGATGAGCTGTGCTGCAATTCATCAGCCCTCAAAACTCTTTTGGATCTTGTGAAATCCGAGTCAAGAGTTGATATTTTCCAGGTTCACTTACTACCAAACAAATTATCAACTGTCCTTTCCTTTGACCCAGAATTAGATTTTGTTATTTCCTTATATGTGTTAACGACAGATGTTTTTTGTATCAAGCTGTTACTGTTAGAGATTTGAAGTTTACTAAGTGTTCTTGCAGTTTTTCTATGGCCTTCAATTCAAGGCCTGTTCTCCAAAAATCCTGTACTATTTAGAGGCTCATACATAAATATCTCTGACTTCAAGCCAACACAACCACCCTTCCAAATAAGGTTAGCCCTGTGTGTTTTACCCACCACTTATCCACGTCAACCACTGTTAATCCATCGTATCTTTTTAATCAACTATGACAGCCAGTCTCCCTTCTTGGCATCCCACAGGGATGAGTTTCCCATCCTGCTGTTCTTCCTGAAAAGCATCTGCTTCTAGACCTGAACAAGTCCATCATCTTCTAATTTGTATCTCCTCTTTTTTGTCCAAACTGCCAGTTTTTACCATCACCTTGGTGCGAGGTATTCAGAATTCATTAGTCCCCTGGCCAGCCTGGTGCCACCAGCTGTTCCGAGCTGCTCTGTCATCCACTTCCTCAGGGTCACCTTTTGCTTCCTAGAGCTCTGATGCCAACAGCAAGGATCCCATCTCCCATCCTGCTCCTCAGGCACCATCCTCACCTCATTCGCTCTCCTATTTTCAGTTCCTAGCATTAGGAGCATAAATACACACAAGCAGCATGTGCTCAAAGGGTACAGCTCTTTACAGCAGAGATAATAATTTGATGCTTTTTTTTTTGAATGTACATTTCTACTGCTGTATCATCAGCAAATGACATTTATTAGAATGACCAAATTTCAGCAGCTGTAGGGAAACAAAGCATTTAACTGTAGTGGGGGAGGAATGTTTAACCACAGGAAGTTCACTATTTATCTCTCACTATAAACATCCTCTGCTGGCCTCCCCAGACAACTTTCACTAGGGCCTACTCAGCTATTTGTTTT